TTTAGAAAATTTAAGCTGTTATATTTGATGAAATTGTTTTTATTTTAACGTTCAGAACCTCTGGAGAAGTGGCGAATTTTGCCCTGTTTTGAGATTTTCAGTGAATACTGGTTTGGTCTCGAGAATGTCTTCGTTACATGCTTGTTATATTAAATGGGGAAAGACTCATTTCACTGCGTATGAAAGACTTCATAAACTAGAGAGCAGCTGTTAAAATACGTTCGATACTCTTAAGCTTTAGTCTCTGGAACAGTACTGTAAGAAATTCCATTTCAGAATCTACTTGACATGTTTGATCTTGCGCAGTATAGCGGCTTAAGAATATGAATTATTGAACATTTAGGACGAGGTGTAAATGACGCTCGGTTACTGAGTCAGAGCCATTATTCTTTATCAACGGAACGGAAACGACATTGACTTCAACGCTGTAAATGAGCTAACAACATTGATGGCCTCCTAAAATGTAGGTATTGCGCCCGTGTCTTTCTCACTCTCGTTCCATTTGGGCATTTTGGTTCATGACGGCCAGACAGTCATTTTGACTCTGGATTATTCTGATCCATTGGCAGCCACCTTATATTGATTCATTGACTACTTGTTTCCCCTTTAATCGTATATGAGTATATCAGTGCTTGATAATGAGATATGAGTAGAATGGCAAATTCATTTAAGACATACAACGGGATTTTAGTGCTACTTTAAGTACGTGGCAAAACAGAAATCTGTCATGTAGGTGTCCACCATAGATAAGCTGTGGCAAAATGCCCGAGTTTTGTGGTAGATACTTTGTGCCGTGTTGTTAGACGTAATGGTGTATAAACAATTCAGCTATGGTATAGGGCACGGATACTGAAAAACTGCCGTTTCTATAGTAACATCACAGCATGATGTTTCAGCAGAGAGAATGTACAAAAACCAGTAAGTGACGAAATTGATTACCATATGTTACATAGAATCCCAAATTTACATTTTCGTTGCTTTTTTAAAGCTCACAGAGATTTAAAGGCGAACTAGCAGGCTAGTCTAAAAATACATCTCTTATACGGTAACTGGAAAACGATTGGCCATAAAATGTCTGTTACAATTACTGCGATATTTTTTTCGGCCATGCTCAGAGGTGTGAGCAGAGTAGATGGAGAAGCGCCCAGCTAGGTGTATGATGTGAAGGAATAGAATCCTTGTTAAACACGCCTTCATATATGACCCAGTAAAGTGCATTGAGGTACTTTAAGTAAGTGGAAACTTTACTGGAAGTAGACTGTTGTTTCAGGCATGTTAATTGAACGTCTGAAGCAAGTAGTCCAGGAGCAGATAAAAGAGGAATTCCATTATAACGTGCTTCGGGATTGTGCAAAACCGATGAAGATATAAGGGTGTCAAAAAGGGTAACCTTGACCAAGGGTCGGAGAATGTGTGAAAAATTGACTCGTCCCGCTGGTCTCTAATAAATTGTTTTAACAGATTAAAGTGATTAACTATGCAATTTAGTTATTATTAGGGATATAGATCAATTTCCTGGTTACTT